GCACACTTGCTTTCCAAAGTTGGCTTAATGTATATCAGGCAAAGAAGTGAAGGGAGAGAAAGTTGGTTTTTTTTTTACTTATGAAGATACTGTAGCCACTTTTCACAGGTTGGTCTCCAAATCACATAAAGAATTTGATATATCCATTTTCCAAGTGTGGCAGAAGTGTCCAATGGATAAAGTTAAACTGGAATTTCTTAAAGACATTGTTACCTAACTATATACATGGATTTATATTGTCAAGGAGTAATCGAGGAACATCTGTTGTCAATACCAGCTCTGTTTGTGAGGTAACTAGAATCCCTGGTTGTCATGTATCATTTTACTAGATCTTTTAGATACCAGCATATCACTTATAGAAATTTATACTGGCATTGACTGTTATATAACTGGATATAATGGGTGCAACTCCCTGAGAGTTCAGATGACAATAGTTATACAGTGGCTTCTTAGATATATCTAGTCTAACCATCAACAAGTAAACAATACCAGATATGATAATGATGACATGTTAATCTTTTAGGATAAACTATCTATTCTTTTTCTAAAAAATCATGGAAGTAAGAAACTTCTTAAGGCCCACAACATAAAAGAAGCTACTACTTCTTAATATGGTTCTTGAGAGAAGAAAGTCAACTGGTCAAAGGAGTGATAAGATAGAGAGTGGCAACTTTAAGAAAAAAAGAAACCTAAAAAGGAAAAACTTCAGAGGGAAGAAAAAAACCTAACTTTGATAGAGAGAGGGAAAAACTTCAAAAGGAAAGAAAAAACCTAACTTTGGTAAAGAGAGGAAAAAACTTTAGAGGGAAGGAAAAAACTTAACTTTGGTAGAGAGAGAAAAAAACTTCAGAGGAAAAAAAAAACCTAACTTTGATAGAGAGAGAGAAAAACTTTAGAGAAAAGGAAAAAACCTAACTTTGGTAGAGAGAAGGGAAAAGAGAAAAGAAAGAGAGTATATATAAAAGAAAAGTTTATAGAAGAGAAGGGAAAAAAAAAAGAAAAGAGGGGAAGAGAATAATAGGAAGAAAAAATAATATTAGGGAAAGGAAAAAAGCGAAAAAAGAAAACAACTTAAAAATTTCCTAAAAAGAAAATTTTCAAGTATAAGGAGGGGAGTGGGAAAGAGTTTTTTCATTAAAAAAAAAAATACAATTATTTTTTTTAATAATATTTTTTTTGTCATAGAAAATTCAAATTTTTTTAAACTTTTTAAGTAGAATAATACTTAATCAAAAAATTAAAAGGAAAAGAACAATAAAAAAATAAATATAAAATTTCTGCTCTATTCAATATAATGTTTTAAAAAAAGTATATAAATTATACATATGATATAAATTATTTACTATTGATTCAATTCTTAAAATTCTCAAAAATAATTATATCATGTCTCAATTATTTATATGTTTTAATAGTAACTTAACTAATTGTATTAAATAATTGTATTAATTATATCAAGAATCTATAAATTTTAGTAACATGTATAGTATAGATTATTTTAAACAGTTATGAAATAAAATAATTGCTGAATGTTGTTTTGAAATAGTAATTAAAAGATCAACAGAAAGAGTTGGTTGTAATTTTATTAAAATATTTTAATAATATTTTTTGATTTATTATTTAAGATACTTGTTTAAAAATAAAAAAAGTTTATTTTAATTTTATAACTTTTTTATTAACAAAAATTATATGTATCTTTAAAAAAATATAATATAATATTATTAAAAATATTTTATTTTTATTTTTTAAAAATATAAAATAAATAAATCAAAAAATCAAACAATTTAATTATTATTAAATAATTAAGATTTTATTAAAATTTAATAAAATTTATTAATGCATAATTAAATAATTAAGATTTTATTAAGATTTAATAAAATTCATTAATACATAATTAAATATTTATGATTTGATTGTAAGTTTTAATAAAATATTTTTTGTAATCATTAAATTTTATTTAATTATTATTGCTTAAAAAAATTTCAAATAATTTCAAATATCTAGATATAGTATATAATATATTATTTATAATAATGATGATGTTTAAATAATTTAAACATTAATAGAAAGTTAAATAGTGAATTCTTTTCTAATTTTTAAAAATAAACAAACAAGCAAACAAACCATTCTCATGTTTTTCATGTTTTTCAATAATAATATTCTTCTTCATTGATTATTCTTTTTTAAATTTTAATGTATTATATTTTTCAACCAAACCTACGATAATAATTCATTTGCAACTAAAAACACATTCGAATAGACGAATTATTAAAACACGTTCAAACTAGAATATAATTAATGTCACATCGATGCTTATACTGTAATTCATCAAATTACATAATCCCATATTATTAATATTGTGGGACGAAATTAATTACCTCCGCATGTACTGTATATTACCATATTAAAGCGATCACAGTATAATAATAAAATGACACTAGAAATCATTATGTTTTTATAACAAAAATGGCATTAAAATAATAATCTTTAAGGTCATGTTATAGAGAGTTTTTTTTTATTTGGGTATAAAATTATTAGAATCTTACATTAGGAAAAGTTAGAAGTTGATTTTTACTACAAAAAATTCAAGACTCCATAAAGATATTTCTGTCTGGTAACTGTGAATGTACAAAATTCTTGAAGGTGAAAAAAAAAGGAGACCAATCTTGATCCACTTATAAAAAATTTTTTTCTAGTAAAAAACAAAACATCATTTTATCTCCACGTTTAATATAAACGATAGTCTAGTTCAACATCTCGGGTTAAATGAACTCAACGTTAGAATTTTTGGGGGTTAAACTTTGACGATCGGATGATTTTCCTAATGAATAGAATGAACGTATGTATGCATGCTAGCGCGACATGAATCCTATCGAATTTTTATTTGACCGCCATTTTCTCTTCTTTTTCTTCGTTTCTTCCTTCATCTAAGAGCCTATTCATTCTTCGAATTTATCGGAGTTGGAGATCGCGCTTGTTTACGATTCATCAAATGAGAAGAATCTAATATTGTCAAATTTCTGCAAATAGTAAAAGACAACTTTTCAGAATAAAAACTTTGTTCGTATGGAAACTTTCTTAGGAGACCTCATTTATCCTACCGTGGTTAAAACAAAATTAATTCCGACAGGAGGCTGTCCAACAAATTCTTTACAAGTAGGACCAACAACAACGAAGGTTTCCAAAATTATTACAACAACGAAGGTTTCCAAAATTATTACAACACCAAAGAGCTCTTATCGAAGCACTGCCCACAGGAACATTTCAACCAAAGAGGACGATTTGATAAACAATCCCACTTCGGCTGGCCCAGATTTCCAAACTCGAAAAAACCTTAATCGAGTTTCTCTCACCTCGTCGTTCTATACAACAACTGCTTCAGCAAATATACCCATTGAAACCATTTCTAATGGTGTTACTATTGATCTTACTGTTTTAAAAGCTAAAGCATCGTCAATTATTCCGACCAAAAACATTGTAGAGAACCCTTTTGATTCAAAATCACCATACAGAATCCCCGCCATATTAGGCATGACCCTTACATTGCTAGTAGCATTGTCTGCACTGTTATTTTTATTGAGAAAAACAATTTTTGTCAAAAGAATATGTAGTAAACCATCAAGCGTAAACTCATCACCTCCTAGTATTAATAGTGATCGCGATTCTGCGGAAGTTTCAAGAAATTCTACTTTGGTTGAAACACCCGATGATATCGTGTTTCCAAAGAATCCTTTGTCAACAATCTCCATTCCATCTGTCGATATAGATTTAAAAGATAACAATCTGATTTTTTATGAAACGAATCCAAATATAAGTCCAACATCTCCACAAAAAGTTGAGAATTTATGCTGATATTTGGGAAAACTCTATTTATAATCGTTAGATTCTTTAAAAACCAATTTAGAACTTGTCAAAACCTTTCCGCTTAACACAATTTAGATATCCTTAAACATAATTATTTTTGATTCGTTGATTAGAATAAAAGACGCAACTATCCGGTGACTTGATGATAGAAAGATTCAGTATTAATTATGGCTCAATTGTTATAAAATTAATTGGTCAATCAATCACGAGATATAATAATTAAGCCATAATTAAAATTGCATCTTATTATTTAATAAAGATAAACATTAACAAACAAATAATATTTTATTTTATTATTATTAATTTATATAATTTATATAATTTCTTTTTGTATATACACTATCAAATAAATTTTTAAATAATTGTTCTTTTTTTTTTGTTTTTTTTTAAAAAAAATTTAAAGTATATACTACAGTAGATTGTTAAAAAGTAAAAAAAAATAATCTATGCATATACTGTATATATACTGTATATTATTAATTTATATATAATTAAAATATATTAAAACTTGATTTTTTTCGCAAAGTCTAATTACAATCTAACATTTTTATTCAATCTTATTGCACTATATTTCTTATTGTTTATTTAATTTGATATTTTCATGTCGCTATCTAAAATTGTTTTCAGCATTTGAAGAAAAATCAGCGGATTAAAAAACCGTTGCATGATAAAATTAGATTGATATTTGATTGGTCAAACGTTTTTATACGTTTGTCGGAGAATCCTCACCGTCTCGTGTAACGCATTTGGACAATAAAGTCATGCGTTTTGAGACAAAAAGATTTTAAAGTGAACGATTGGTAATTATAAATGAATCGATCATTCTTCCATTAGTTTTTTCAATGTTTTGATCATTTTGCGCCCTTTTTGGTGATCTTTAAAACTCCTGCTGACACGGCTTTGTGGTCCGAATTGCCGTTTCGTGACAAAATTCCAATGAACCATGAACCATGAGGTGTGATAGGCAAGATCATCGTAGTATTCCGATGCAATCTTACGTATCTCGGGTAAACGGGACCATGCAATCTATTTTACGAGTCAAAATGAAAATGACGAATCACGATCAGTTATCAATTATTGAATGACCAAGTTGAATATTAAATATAATTAGCATTGGTAAACGCCAGTGCTCTCATCGTTTTCTTAATATTAAAAAGAAAAGAAAAAAAAAAAAAAAAAAAAAAATGTTTATTACCTTTGTAAAATCGTGATGTTCATTGTGATATCCAATATTCATAAAAATCTTGTTGAGGCATCCATAATAAGAATAGGTTTCTTGCCCATCATCAAAGGTATAATGTTCCTGAATGAATCGTGCAGCCGCTGGATGAATGCTATACCCAAACCATAAAGATAAAACTAGATATAATAATCCGCGTCCGCCGAAATAATGAAAGATGAGGAAATCGATAGAGATGGTAAATAAATAGTTTATATATTCCCACAGTTGTGGACTCTTTAACATGGCCAGGCTGCGAATTAGATTGATAATAGGAAAGAGGGTTAGCCACATAAATTTTAACGACGTACTGCCACTAATAATATCCTTCTCCCAATCCAAGGGCAAGTCAGGATCCATTCCCTTCACACCTTGAAAAGTGTGATGTTCCAGGTGATATCGACGAAACGGCATGGCAATTGGCAACGGTATTGATATATTTGCAATAAGTCCTACGAGGCGGTTTTGAAATGTTGTTCTTGCGGCAAGACCATGAGATACCTCGTGAATTATTACAATACAAATTTGTGTCGTTGTCCCTCCAATAAAAAAAGAAACCACGAACATTGTCCAATGCCAATCGGTTAACAAACTACTAAATACATAAGAAACGGCTAACTGAATCATTGTCACTATTATGGTGATAAACGCAGTTCTACTATCGTGTCCGTACAGTTTTTTGATTTCTGGATAATAATTTAAAATGGTCATTTTTCGCTTCATATGAGGACCATCCAAATCATCATTTGCGAAATCATCATCAATACACGCGATAGACTTTTTCCAGTCGCCGATATAAAGAGGGTGTCTATAATCATAGACGTCGTCTTTTGAGGGCATCTTAGAAACATAAAAAACAAATATCTAATTCACTCTTATTTTTGTTCACTCTACCCCCGAACCACGAGAATGAAGGTTTGACGACTAATTTATGTAATGAATAAACCTGAGGAATGAAATATTTAGTTGGTAAAATAATGCATGAAAGAGAGACTATATCTTGAGACACGTCATTTAGTAGTCTCTTCTTTTTTTTTTTTTTCACGTGCCTGATTTTTTTTCAGAAATCACCCCACTCCAATTCCTCGAATCAAATTTGAGGTATTTAAAGTAATAGTATAATACCATTGGTGAATAAATCAATAAAAAAAAATCATACGACTTTTTTTTTTAGATCGGCTACTTTTGTTACCTTTGAATGCTTGATAAACAACTAGGCGAGTAAAATTTAGGTAAACACGAAACAAAGATTTAATCTTTTATTATAATTCGGTTTCGATTTTCCAGTGTTTACTTGCCTAATAAACTTGTTCATTTTCCGGAGATCTCAAGCTTGCATCTGACGTGAGCTTCAAAGTGAATGGGTGCGTCATACTATTTTGAAATCGGAAGTTATGGATATATTTGTTTAATGTTTATAAAGAGATGCATTTATTATCTTTCATATACGGTTAGGGTGTTATCTGTCTCTGGCAGTTTGATTTGATTCTGACCTGACCTTATGTAATTGGATCCTGCGTCAGTCTGGTTTACTTATTTGTACCTGTCTGATGTAAATCATCAATAGGCTGTACAAAGATACCTAAAATTGGGAGGTTTATTTTCAGTTGACAGGTGTGTCAATACGTTAACCCAGGAATTTTTGAATTTTTGAATTGTTGTACATCTAAAATATCAAATATAAATCATGTTATTTATTGCATGTATGAAGTCGTATTAAATAGTTACTAGATAACGAAAGTCGTTTATGCGTTCGAAGCATTAATTTTGTAATATTATGTTTCATTAAAAAATTATAATCGAACAGAGTCTTGACTGATTTTCGAAGAGACGATTTTATGACTTTGTCCAAGACTTTCCTATAGCTAAATCATAACAATATCGCAAATACACATGTCAATATAAATATATGACGTGCATAATCATTGGTTTGTGGACAGGCATGATCTTGAGTGGAATATATCATCAACGGCGGCATCATTATATAGCTTATGGCAAGTGTTCTACGTTCTACGCAAAATACATAAAAGAACAATATATCTATTTTTATATCTTTATTTTTGGATTATATATTAAAATTAAGTAAAATGTAATATATGTAACACAATTAATGATCAACAAAGGAATTAACAATGGATATTACATGTACTACAGTGGTGGCCATAAATAATGGGAATTGTAAATTTATTTTTATTTATTTAAAAAAAAATATTTATTACATAAAAA